TTCTGGAACCTGCGTGTCAGCAGCGCTGCCACCAGCTCTGCTGGTCTGCTGCCTCCCCATCTGGTCTGAGCCTCCGAGAAAGCAGGACATGTGCGGGAAGCCAGGTTCTGCTCCGGGATCCAGGGAGAAGGCCAGGATGATTTTGAGATGGGTCCTGGGCTTCTGAGAAAGCAGCGATGTGGGGAGGGAAGGAGCTCTCTGGACTTGGAAAGTTGTGGTGTTGTAGGCTTGAGGCAGGGGACTGCCACTGGAGTCCCATTTCTGGAGCAATCCAAGCCATAGGTGGGGGCGAGCCCTGAGGCTGGAGTGCCGCCCAGCGGGCGGGCCCCCCGACTGCCTGCCCTCAGTGGGGAAGGGGCAGCCCTGTGACACGCCGCTGCCTCCCCCCGCCCCCTCCGAGGCCTGACTCCTCTGAGGCTGGTTCACCACAGAATATTTTTAGCTGACGGTTCCTGCTCACAGCTGAGTGTTCACCCTTAAATATTTTATTAAGTTCCTTTTTATCGAACACAGGCCTGTGTCCCTTAGAAGCGGAAACATGGTGCAATGGGTGTCCCAAGCCCCCTGGGCTGTCCCTCCCACTCCTTCCTCACCCGTGCTCATGGGGTCCCCTGTCCCAGGTGTCTACTCTCCCTGCAGAAACTCCTCCCTGTCCCCATCACGGATGTGCTTGTGTGCACTGGTTACCCCAGACACCCTGAACCTCTGTCCCCCCAGGACCCTGTCTCCGTCTGTTGATTTGAAACCTCCATCCCCCGTCCACGAGTCTGCCTCTGTGACCCGTCCTTCTCTGCCCTGCTTTCCTGTCTGGGCACGCAAGCCCGCACCAGCTTTCCTGCAAACTCACGTACAGTCCTTTCTCCGAGTATTTCCTGTCTGCCTGCCCGGTCCTCTGCCGCCTCTCTCTCTCCCTCCCATTCTCCCCTTTCGGAAGGAAGAGAAACTGACGGGGGCGGGGGGAGGGGGGGGGCACTGAGGCCTTCCCCATCACTTTACTGTATATGTTAAAACAAAAACCCCTTGGCCTGCCTTCTCTCTGTCCCTGGGCTCTTATCCTACAGCGTCCCGGTCAACAGTCTGTATTTCCTTGTTTGTCCGTTCCCTCGCCCAGCAAGCTGGGAGCCCCCTGTGAGCAGGGACTCTCTTTGAGCTGTTCGCCCCGGTGCCTGGCACGTAGTGGGTGCAAACGCCTGTGGGATGAATCTGCAAGGCACGAGGGTTGGTCAGGCAGGCAGGTGGAAGGTCGATGGGATCTGGCCCCTGCCTGCCCGGGGCCCCTCTCTGCGCCCTGCTAGGCTCTGCGTCAGCCCCTGAGCACTGCACACGCGGCCCCCTACCCTCTCCTGCCCCTTCCCCTGCCAGCTCCTCTCAGGGAGAAGGAGGCCATGGCTGTGGCACCCAGAGAAGTCGGTATGCCCCTGGATTTGCTGACGGGAGTGAGGCAGAACTTCGCAAGCCAGAGTTGGGGCTAACCCGCGGTGCTCTGGTACCGGTCCCAGTGCCCTGCCACACCCATGCTTGTCCAGCCTGGGCTGGGGGCCACATCTTGACTCCCCCTTCCGACCCAGGTCCTGACTTCTGCCCGCAGGTGTTCCGGAGCGGAGAGGGCATGGGCATCCGCCTCGATAATGCATCTGCCTTCCAAGGAGCTGTCATCTCCCCGCATTATGATTCCCTGCTGGTCAAAGTCATTGCCCATGGCAAAGACCACCCCACGGCTGCCACCAAGATGAGCAGAGCCCTGGCTGAGTTCCGAGTCCGAGGCGTAAAGGTGAGAGGCTGTGGGCCCTGCCTGCCTTCTGGCCGCTCACCGTCCTTGGCTGCACGTGGACTCTCCTGGCTGCTCTACCATTGCTGGGAGTGGGCCTGGGCGCCAGGCTTCTCAGATGCTTAGGGGGGCACTGGCCCTTGGCCAAAGGTGAGAGTCTTGCTCTGGGGAGCCCCACACTCCTTCCTGCCCCTCTTAGGTGAGATCCCTTGGAGTGTGTGTTCCGTCCACAAATTACAGGCCTCCCTACTGGAAATTCTGATCCCACAGGTTTAGGTGGGGGCCTCAGAGCCTGCGTTTTGAACGAGCTTTCCAGGTAGTTCTTAATCCCAGGATAGCGCTGGGTGAGAGCACAAGCCTGTGTGGATGAGGTCACTTTGCATAAAGTGAGACCCCCGTCTGCCCTCACTCCCCTCTTCCCCTTGCCTGGCACATGCGTCGTGTCGGGTGCTTTAGTAGGGATGGCCGGGAAAGGGAGACTGCAGCGGGAGGCACGAGCAGGGGGCAGAGGGAGACCAGGGTTCCCCCGCTGCAGGGGGCTCATAGCGCAGGTGCCAGGCAAGGACCCGAAATGCTCGTTGGCCTCTTGGTTACCTGTGTCTGTGGCTAGAGATGAAATCACAGCCACGTACCGTCTTGTCCTTGAGGCCAGCGCTGCTGACGTGTCCGTGGGCATCCCCCGGGCAGATGCTGCCAATAGACACTGCGGGAAGAAAGGCTCTGCCCTCAGTGGGTCGTGCCGCTCGGTGCGGCTCCTGGGACTCCGGAGGGAGGCGCCCGGTGCAGAGGACGCCCTCCCTGGCTTGCCGTGCACGGTGGCGGTGGCGGGCGGGGGGGACATGCTGGGGCCCTGGCTGGCGGGCTGCCCCCCCCCCCCCCCCCCCCGTGTCGCCTTCTCCTCTTTGCTGCCGCCGGGACTGCCTGGGCTCCGGGCTCCACTGGCGGTGTCAGGCCACGTAGGCAGCCCTGTCCTCTCTTGGTGCCCTGTGACAGCCCTCTCAGCTGTGGCAGCGGCCCCGGCGGGTGCGGTAGCCTTTCGAGAAAGCTCCTGGGAGGGGAAGAGGGAGGAAGGGAGACTGTGGGGCCAGTGCTTGGTCAGCTGTTTCCCCTCGGGCCCTCGGCCCACCTCAGAGGGAATGGCCTTGTTGGGGGTCTATGGGAAGCCTCGGGGCTCCTGGTCTGGGGGTGGTTTCCTGCACACGTACAGAGATGCGTTGTGACGTCATGTGTTCAAGCTGCTTCTGAGGGGTCTTGGTTTTCCCAACATGGTGTCCTGGGGCTGCTTTTGGGGCTGGGTGGCCAGCATGACCACACCATGACCCTAGTGTGGGGCCCGGCTACGCCACCCTTCGCCTGCCTGCCCATGTTGCTCTGTGTTGTCCTTATTGGTGACCCTGACTGGCCCTTGGGCCATGGGATCCTCCACCTGTCCCACAGCCTGGCAGGTTCACGAGTACCTGCTGCCTTAGAGCTCCCTGGACGAGGGAGACCAGGGCCAGGGGGCTCCCAGGGAGGAAGGTGGGAAGGCCAGCTGTGGGACACGTGTTTCTAGTTCCTTGGGGCCGCAGGGTCCTCCCCAAATGCACACCCTGGCACGTCTAAAGCCTCCCACTAACCCTGCACCTGCCACCTTGCAGCTCTCTGCTCCTTGTCCCTCTGCCACGGGCCCTTCAGCCCTGTGTCATCCCTGCCTTCTCTCCACGGCCCCCAGGAGGGCTCAGGCTCTCCCGTTCTTGTTTCCTTTATTTAAACCAGGGTCTCTCCCCGGCCACATCCAGGTATGTGTTCTGGGGCTGGGAGGGCAGGCACACGTGTGTGTCAACACTGCGCAAACCCACAAGTGTGTGAGCTTGGCCAGCACACGTGTGCACGCACATCTTCTTGTGCCGGTTCTCCCCAGGTGCCCACTAGAACCACGGCGGGCCGCACACAGAGACACTCGTGCGCCCCTTGGTGTGTGGACCGTGGCTGCCATAGCCCAGGCACCATCACAGGCCCTGGGGTGCCTGTGCCCACCCTCCACAGTGGGGCCCAGGCACCTGCGTGCTCTCGAAGCATTTGGGTGTGCCCCGTGCAGGGTGAAGAACCACATATCTGCAAGCACTTGGAGCACAGATCCCTCCCAGCTATGACCGGGCGCCATGATTGTTCAGAGGCTGGCAGGGATCTCGGGCAGAGAGGAGGCAGAGCAGGGCGTGCCCCCCCAACCCGGGACTGTGGCTTCTTGGGGTGGGGCATAGAAGCAGGGCAGTGGCCCTGTCAGTGTAGGCACCCCTTGGTGTTTGCCCCTCCAGTGTCCAGTGAGGGTTTGACTCAGTCTTTCCGGACAAGCCCAGAGCAAAGCCACGGGGGAGCAGCTGAGAGCTCAGGGCCCATAGCCCTGACAGCACCTTCCAGAAGGTCTTGGGCTGATAGCAGGGCAGTGGAATTCCAAGGCTCTTCCAGTCCCTCTGGGATGATATTTTACAAATCCAGAAGCTGCCCAGGGAGATGGTGAATAAGGCTGTCACTGACGGGAGCCATGGGGGACTTTCTTACAGAGTTAAGAATGTTGCCAGTTCAGGTCTCTTTGCCCTGAAAGGCTGTGCCATGTCCCCCGGGGCCCCTGTTGCCACTGGGTATTGTGACATCCATGCCTCCATGAGGATGTCACGTCTTGTCCGCGTCCTGCCAGGGAGGAGCGTTCTGTCCTTACAGATAGAAGAACAGGGCGCAGAGGGCTCAGGCATAGTCCCCCACCCACCAGCTGTCTAGAGGCTGGGTCTAGAGGCTGGGACAGGAGGCACCAGATCCCAGCACTCCGCTATCAGGCTGATGAGGCTCGGGCCGTTTGGGCCGCCTCCGCGGGGCTGGCAGCCCCATGCCTGACCCTGTTGTGTCCGTGTGCCTCTACTGGCCCACATGTTCCCCCTCCCCTCAGGAGCCTAGCAGGACAAGACAAGGCTAGCACTGAGGTGTACCCAACAATTTTATTATAAAGAAAAACAAGACTCCTGCTTGGTTGGTGCAGCCCCTGCTTCAGTGGCTGTGAGCACCTGTCAGTGGAACGCAGGTCTGGAGGCCAAAACCAGGGAAAGGGCCCCCTGCCTGGCCAAGCACAGAGGAGGCCTGAGGTACCAAGGGTAAAATCAGGAGGGACTCCCAGGCAGTGCCGACCCAACCAGGCCCGGCAGCTGCCCGCCCCACACCCTCTGCCCCTTCCCCAGCCCGCCCTGGGCCGACTCCCTTCCCATCACACCACACTCTCTTCCAGCTGCTCCGTGCTGCCCCCCACCCCCCGGCACCCTGCCCCGAGCAGCCCCCCATGCACAGAGTGGCTCCGTCGGGCCCAGGCTCCTCCGAGGCGCCTGGCGTAACCGTAGCACCCGCCAGCATCCCCCAGGTCCAGGGAGCAGCTGCGCTGGGGCCGAGGCGGTGGGCTCCGTGGCGGGTGGGCCTTGGGTGTGGGGCTGGGGCCTCCATTGGTCTGGGATTGGACGTGGCTAAGCTTGAGGGGGAGGCGGCCATTCCCGGCCCCCCGGCCCCGAACCAGCAAGGCCACGGTGAAGACCAGTAAGGCAGCCACCAGCACACCCCCCACGGCCACGGTCAGGGTCCCGCCCAGCACGTGGGCCTGCAGGGCGTGGCACAGGGGCGCAGCCGGCAGCGTGGAGAAACGGGCACAGCCCAGCAGCCGGGTGGCTGTGAGGTCGGAAGGCCCAGCCGCAGGTGACAGGGCCAGCAGGCAGAGGTCATAGTCGGCACCAGGGACTAGGTGCTTCAGCAGGAAGTGGTGGCTGGAGGCCGGGACAATCCTATGGGCAAGGGTGGGTGGTCAGAGCCCAGGTCCAGGCTCTGACCCCAGCCCCCAGCCCCACACGGCCTCAAAGGCCCCTTCACCACCCGCCACCCACCCACACTGCATGCTCCTGAGTCCCAGCTCTGAACACTCCCCTCCCCTAGGACCACATGGGCCTTGTTTGTTTACTGAAGAAGGCAGAGAAACCAAGACAGGCATGCATTTTTGCAATTGGGGACAGTGCAAGGGGACAGACAGGCATGTGTGCTGATGCACAAGCCCAGGGCAAGGCAAGGAGGTGGTGGAGAATCACATCGCCAGAGCCCGAAATAACACATGTGCAGCCCAGGCTTGTGTGCTTGAACAGAGACCAAACCCCGGGAAGCCTGTACTCGCTCAGCCACGCCGAGAGACTTCTCTTGGGGCACTCCCCCTCTCCCTGGTGCCTGCCCCTCCCCTCCCTCTGCATCCCCCCCCCCCCCCCCCCCCCCCCAGAAGCTTAGGAGGGGTGTGTGAAAGCTGGTGAGTGCTGGAGGGGTGGAGAGGGGCTCAGAGGGCAGCCGGGAGCCAAGCTGGGGCTGTGGGCAGCAAAGCGCATCCTCACCGGTAGATGAGGGTCTCATCTTCACTGCTGTTATACTGGATTTGGAACATCCACACAGGGTCGGCTGGCCGCCCTGGCCCCCAGCTCACCAGCCCTGAGGTTGCAGTCACCTCTGTCACCTGCACAGCTGGCTCAGACTCCAGTGTCCCCTCGCCCTCGGCAGCAGTGCGGGCCGAGGCGGCAATGTCCGAGGGCCCTGGGCGGCCCCCCTCAGCGCTGCCGTTCCCGCCGTGGGGCAAGGCCAGCACCCGTAGCTCCACACGGGCTGTGGCCTCCCCGGCAGGGTTGGTAGCAATGCAGGTGTAGCCCCCTGCGTCCCCAGAGCCCGTCACCCCGATCTCCAGGGTCCCATTGGGGAAAGCCCGGGCTCGGGAGGAGTTGCCAACCAGACGGTCATCAGGGCCGACCCAGTGCATGGTGGGCGCAGGGTCACCGAGGGCCCGGCATCTCAGAGTGGCCCGCTGGCCCTCCAGCACCCAGAGGCGCTGCGTGTGGCGGGCGATGAGGGGCGGCTCGCAGGAGAACTCGCCCTCGGGCACTGCCCAGAAGTAGCGGCCGGCCAGGCCTGGAGGGGAGGCGCACGTCTCCAGGTCGTCGGGCCGGGCCAGCCTCCGCAGCCACAGCAGCTCGCAGTTGCAGTGCAGGGGGTTCCCGCTGAAGCTCAGCACCAGGGGGGCGGGTGAGGCCTCCGCGTCGCGCCCCCGGGAAAAGAGCGGGTCTGGTGCCAGCGTGGCCAGGCGGTTGGAGGTGAGGTCGAGACGGGAGAGCTGGCTGAGCTGGGCGAAGGCGCCCGGGGGCAGTGCGTCGATGAGGTTGTGGTCCAGGTTGAGCGTGTGCAGGGCAGGCATGGCACCGATGCCGGCCCAGGGCACCTGCCGCAGGTTGTTGTAGGACAAGTCGAGGTCCTCCAGGCTGTCCAGGAAGTCGTCGAAGGCCCCGGGCGAGATTCGGCCCAGCTGGTTGCCACTGAGGATGAGGTGCTGCAGGTTGACGGGGCCCCGCAGGCTGCCGGTGCCCAGCTCAACCAACCTGTTCCCGTCCAGATGCAGGGAACGCAGGCTCTCCAGGTCCCCAAAAGCGCGGGCCCCAATGCGGGTGATGGCATTCCGGGAAAGCGTCAGGTCCACCAGCCCTGTCATGTTCCGGAAGTCCGGTGGCCCCAAGGCCTGGATGAAGTTGTCAGCCAGCCGCAGCTCCACGGTGCGGCGGTCCACGTTGGGTGGCACGAACAGCAGGCCTCGGTGGGCACAGAGGGTGCTGAGTGATTCGGACAGGTTCTGGCAGACACAGGGCAGTGGGCAGGCGGCCGCTCCACTGGCCAGCAGCAGCAGCAGGAGTGGCGGGGCCATGGTGAGCGCCCTGTAGGGAAGGGCCACAGCCCAGGCACAGGTGGGGCTGGTGCAGGTGCCCACTGTGCCCCGGGGCCCGGTCCCCAGGGCCAGCTTCTGGAGCCTGGTCTGGGTGGGGATCAGGGTCAGAGGCCCACAGGGCCCCCCCAGGGATGAAAGAAGGCTGGGGCCTGCCAGGCCCCCCACAACAAAGGTCACATTTCCCAACCAGGTAGGGGGGTCCTGGCCTTGGGGATGAGGTGCAGCATGAGGCAGGAAGCGGAGGTGGGCACTAGAGCAGGGAGGGTCCCGGAACTTCCTTTCTCTGGCGTCTCCAGGAATCGCCAGCCCCCTCCCTCCGCACCATCCCTCCCCCCCAAGCCCCTCCCTTGGCCCCGCGCCCCTCCCTGGCCAGCCACTGCTGTTGTACCCCGCAGCCCCCCTCACCTGGTGTCTGTAGCTCAGGGGGAGCGGGCCGGCCTCCCCGTGGGCCTGGCCAGCCCCCGCCGACTCCAGGCGGCTCTCCCGCGGG